TTTTCCCAAAAATTCTCCATTTTTCCCCAACATTTTCCCGAAATTCATCACTTTTCACCCAAATTCCCCCCCAAAATCCCCTTTCCCCAAAAAAATTTTGTGAATTTTACCCGAATTTCCCAAATTTCAATCAAAACCACCCAAAAACCACCAAAGGCTCTTCCAGTTGACCAACTGGGTCAACACCAATGGTCATTTTGAGTGGAAACCACCCAAAACCATCAAAGACCCTTCCAGTTGACCGACAGGTCAACACCGATGGTCATTTTGGGTCGAAACCACCCAAAATCAAGGGAGGCTCTTCCAGTTGACCAACTGAGTCAACCAATAGTCATTTTGAGTCAAAACCACCCAAAAACCACCAAAGGCTCTTCCAGTTGACCCCTGGGTCAACACCAATGGTCATTTTGAGTGGAAACCACCCAAAACCACCAAAGGCTCTTCCAGTTGACCAACAGGTCAACACCGATGGTCATTTTGGGTGGAAACCACCCAAAATCAAGGGAGGCTCTTCCAGTTGACCAACTGGGTCAACAAGGATGATCATTTTGGCTGGAAACCACCCAAAACCATCAAAGGCTCTTCCAGTTGACCATTTAATCAACACCAATGGTCATTTTGAGTGGAAACCACCCAAAACCATCACAGGCTCTTCCAGTTGACCAACAGGTCAACACCGATGGTCGTTTTGGGTGGAAACCACCAAAAACTCTTCCAGTTGACCAACTGAGTCAACCAATGGTCGTTTTGAGTCAAAACCACCCAAAAACCACCAAAGGCTCTTCCAGTTGACCCCTGAGTCAACATCAATGGTCATTTTGGGTGGAAACCACCCAAAACTATCAAAGGCTCTTCCAGTTGACCAACAGGTCAACACCAATGGTCATTTTGGGTCAAAACCACCCAAAATCAAGGGAGGCTCTTCCAGTTGACCAACAGGTCAACACCAATGGTCGTTTTGGGTGGAAACCACCAAAGGACCTCCCAGTTGACCAACTGGGTCAACAGGGAGGGTCGTTTCGGGTGGAAACCACCCAAAAACCATCAAAGGCTCTTCCAGTTGACCAACTGGGTCAACCAATGGTCGTTTTGGGTGGAAACCACCAAAGGCTCTTCCAGTTGACCATCCAATCAACACCAATGGTCATTTTGAGTGGAAACCACCCAAAATCAAGGGAGGCTCTTCCAGTTGACCAACAGGTCAACACCAATGGTCGTTTTGGGTGGAAACCACCAAAAACTCTTCCAGTTGACCAACTGATCAACTCCAATGGTCGTTTTGGGTCAAAACCACCAAAAACTCTTCCAGTTGACCAACTGATCAACACCAATGGTCGTTTTGGGTGGAAACCACCAAAAACTCTTCCAGTTGACCAAGTGAGTCAACCAATGGTCGTTTTGGGTGGAAACCACCAAAAGCTCTTCCAGTTGACCATCTGATCAACACTAATGGTCATTTTGAGTGGAAACCACCCAAAACCACCAAAGGCTCTTCCAGTTGACCAACAGGTCAACACCAATGATCGTTTTGAGTGGAAACCACCCAAAATCAAGGCAGGCTCTCCCAGTTGACCAACTGGGTCAACAAGGACGGTCGTTTCGGGTCAAACCCCCCCAAACCTGTCCCTCTTTCCCCCAGACGAGGCGGCGGCGGGCGGCGGCGACGACGTGCGGGTGGAGGCGGTGGCGCCGCTCTTCGCCGACATCTTCGAGGCGGGGGCGGCCCGGCTGACGTGCCGGGTGGCCAACCTGGCGGGCGCCGAGGGGCTGGAGGTGGCCTGGCTGAAGGAGGACGGCGAGCGGCTGCCCACGGCCGTGGGGCCGCCGGCCCTGCAGCCCAACGGGCTCTTCGGCGCCGCCGCCGTGGCCTCGGTGTGCGCCGAGGACTGGGAGGCGGGGCGGACCTTCACCTGCCGGGTGGGGCACCCCGACCTGCTCTTCCCCCGCGAGGTCACCCTGCGCAAGCCCGACGGTGAGTGAGGCCCTTGATTTAGTTTAATTTAGGTTAATTTAATAGGAGAGTTTAATTTGATTTGATTTGATTTAATTTGATTTGATTTGACTTACTTTGATTTGATTTGATTTGATTTAATTTAATTTAATTTAGATTAATTTAATATAAGAGTTTAATTTAATTTAACTTGATTTAATTTAATTTAGATTAATTTAATTTGACTCAGTTGAATTTAATTTAAATTGATTTGATTTAATTTAGATTAATTTAATTTGACTTAGTTTAATTCAATTTAATTTGATTTGATTTGATTTGATTTAATGTAATTTAATTTAATTTAGATTAATTTAATTTAATTTAATTTGATTTGATTTGATTTAATTTAATGTAATTTAATTTAGATTAATTTAATTTGATTTAATTTAATTTAATTTGATTTAATTTAATTTAGATTAATTTAATATGAGAGTTTAATTTAATTTAATTTGATTTAATTTGATTTGATTTGATTTAATTTAATTTAGATTAATTTAATTTAGTTTAATTTAATGTGATATAATTTAATTTGATTTAATTTGATTTAGCTTAATTAAATTAAACTTGAGTTAATTTAATTTAATTTAACTTAATTTATATTAATTTAATTTAATTTAATTTAGTTTAATTTGTTTTAATTTGATTTAAATTAATTTGATTTGATTTAACTTGATTTAGTTTAATTTAATTTAATTTAATTTGATTTACTTTGATTCAATTTGATTTGATTTAATTTAACTTAATGTAGTTTAGTTCAATTTAATTTAGATTAATTTTATTTGATTTAACTTGATTTAGTTTAATTTAATTTAATTTAATGCAATTTGATTTGATTTAATTTGATTTAATTTAATTTAATTTAATTTAATTTAATTTGATTTATTTTAATTTAATTATATATTATACATTGTACATAATATATTATACATTATATAATATATATTATATTTCATATATTATATATTTAATATATTTTATACATTATATATTATTTTCATATATCATATACCATATATTATATATTATATGTCCTATATTATATATTATATTTTATATTTTATATATTAAATACTCTATATTATATATTATATACTGTATTTTATATATTAAATACTCTATATTAT